GTATGCTGGATTCCACTCAGAACAAAGAAATTATTTCAGAATGAAGATAATACAAGAATTTTTTTCTACATACAAGGCTGTATGTCCAGTGCTGGTCAGTGCTGAGGGACTCTGAGGTTTCCTTTGATCGCAGAGGCATGGTTGTGGGCTCTACAGCAGCTTTCTTTGAGCTAGGATGTATGACACTATCTGTGCCTCTGAACGCAACTCACCCTCCCAGGAGGCCAGTTACAAAGAATACAATGAATAATTAATTTGCATTCAAAGGGAGAGAAGCTAATAGGATAAAGGCATAAGACATTCAACCACTTATTTTATAAAGGCATTTAATACTGCTTCACTAGGCAGATATAATTGCTTGTTGCTTGTGTACAGTATGTCATCTTCAAGTAATTGTTGATATTAGCAGTGATAAAATGGCTTCAGAGAGGTTAAGTGACTTGGCCAAGACCAAATAGGAAGCAAATGTGTGAGTTAAGCTGAGAAATTAGCCACTTCTTAAGGCTCAGTGCTCGACACCAAGCTTATAACCTGGTGCTTACAGCAGCATTCCATATTTATCCATCTTTTGTATTTTATCTTCTTCCTTCCTTTCCTCTTTCATCTAACTCTCACATTCAGACTCAAGACAATTTTTTTTAATTTTTCTAGTTCATTATGAAACAAAACCCAGACCTTAGCCCTTATGATCCAGAGTCTTTCAAAAAATTAAAACCAGTCCATCAGTTTCATGTTCACTGCTCTAAATCTTCCACTGTGCAAACAGCAGTACGAGGGGGAAAAAAAAGTACCTTTCCCTATAAATTTAAGTATTTAGCAGTTTCTAGAAGGTTCACCTTGGAGACAATTTCCTATTAGAAATGGCATAGAGTTTACGCTAAGTATAATTATTTTGAAACAAAAAAAATATTCAGTAGTGATGAGTAATGTTTGACTTCTGGATGTTTTGAATGGCTGTTTCTTCTTTTTTGACCTGTATATCCTATATTTTCCATCTGTTCAAGCCATGATTTCCAGTCCACTGGAGCAAAAGCAATGGTAAAAGCATTTTGCCAGCAGCCCTTGGCCGCACTTTATGAATACAGTTCCAAGTCTTGCTGCTACTCAAGGTAAAACTTCTAAAAATAAACAACTGCTTGAAAATAAAAATTGATACAATTTTCTCATTAAAAAGTAAGGGGAGGGGGGGAGGGAAGAAGGATCCTATACTTTATCAGAATGGAGATTAGAGTGAGAAGAGACCAGAAAGGTAGAGCATACACTGACTTTATTAATATTTATAATATAGAAGCAGAAATAATAAAGATCAATATCCAGTACATTGCACAACAGCCACCAGCACACCATGTTTTGTCCCAGGGAGCAGAACTGTCACTGCAGTCAGAGGACACAGCATGGAAATAGTCACTATTCTCAGCACTGCCAGGTTAGAGAATCTAATTGAACCTGTGTCTGAAAGAAGAAATTTGATGTCTTTGTTATATGACAACAGATGGCAGCGCCAGCTTTACTAACCTCTTACTATCCAGATGCAACAGATGCCCATAGAATTCACTTATGGTCTTTACCAACTAAGGATCTAGCAAGGTTTTCCCTATACCCTCGGGATTCCCTTCCAAACCTTGGAATCCAAAACTGGAAACAGCCAGGAGTTTGTTGAAGCCAAGTCCTGCTTCTGAAGGGGCATGTCAAAAAATCAGTCTGGTGAAACAAGGCATCCTGAAACACTTCTAAGAGCTATGAAAAGTCTGACCACCTGGGGGGTTAATGTGGGCTTTAGTGTGCAATCACGTCTTTTCCCCATCTGGCTTACACTGCATAACAGGCATAGTTTTTTTCATTTAGAAATACAAAACCTGGCTATCGGTGAAAATATATTGCATATATTGCACAGGAAGAAGGGATCCTCCAGAAAATGCAGAGAATCTTTTTGGGTAACAGCTGAGGCCAGCAACTGCTCTCCCTCTCCCCAAACTGCAGGTTTTATTCCTTAGACTTAGCATTTCTGCCTGAGTGGACAAGGTCTGTTACACTTTCTTATGTATTATGATCAATCATTTTATGGATTATTTACACAAAAGGGTCATTTCTGCTCCTTTTTGCTCCATTTCAGCTGACAGGATAGAGGATCTTTTACATATGTGCTCATGCTTTCATATTTACATCTTCTAACAGGATGAAATTTCTTTCAATCTACCCTAACTCAATGTCCCTATCTCTACAAAGCAAAAATCCTTAAAGTTTTAGAGACTTAGAGCTTGATTAGGTCACAGAAGAGGTCTCTGACAGCTTTTACACAACGCCAGCTGGAGAGCCTGTTCTGAAACCATTTAGTTGACCATGTCAAAAGAGAACCCGAGCAGTACAATCATAGAATGGTTTGGGTTGAAATGGAGGTCCATGGAAGAGGCATTAGCGTCTTGTATGATGCTGGAATTATAGGAAATCCCAACATAACAAATTTAAGTCAAAGCATTTAATCAAGCTCATTTTTTTGCTCATACCTGGGAGTTGGTTCTTCCCTCATAGCAGAAGACACATATAAATTAGCAACAAGTGAAAACTGAAGTAGCTATGTACATGTCATGGAGGGATAAATGCAGAAAACAGATACTACAATTCTGACCAAGAAAATAACCAAACAAAAGTTTGGACATGCTGTAGCTAGATCAGAGAAAAACAGGCAACAATGCTTTAGAAGCACAGCCGAACAGATATAACTACGCTGATATTGCAGCAGACTGTAGTCTGAAAACCAGTTGCTGTGACAAAAGCGAGTCAAGAGAAATCAAAACTCGTGAAAGCAACATGAGTAACAGCAAGCTGTTACAGAAGTTTGTGTTTTTAGAGGTAACAGCAAACATGTTTTTGAAGAAGAAAATGCTACATTTTTCATTTTGAATCGATACATGCTATCTATTTCTAGCTTTTTGTTTTATGACACCTTACATCTCAAAATAAAAAGCTAACATTCAAAGATGCTATTTAATTTTTTACCAGAAAATTAATTTTTGAAGCATTCATGTAAATGTTCGGCTTTAGTTTTCATTCTAATTTAAACAAAGGAAGATTTCTGAAAGTTTTATAAACCTACATATAATATAATTATCATGGTTATAACCAGCTCTACTTTTAACTGATTGCAGCTCACAAAAATAAAGATGCTTTGAAGTTTTATTTCTAAGACCCTGCATTTACAGAGTAAAAACAACAAACAGCTTTTACCTGCATTCTCCCTCAGATAGGAAAGGGTTTTAATGTCTATTTTTAAATCAATTTTCATAGGTCTTCCATGCATGTCTGAAGTAACATGCCTTTAAAGTCACTGCTACAGAGAAAGACAAAAAGGCATCCCTGAAAGCTTAACTATAAGGAACTGAGATTATCTGCCTTTAAATTAGTTGCTCAGATTTACTCTGAAAATGAAAACCTGGTATGTTAGGGAGGGTGTTTGTCCTCTACCAGATAAAGACGAAATATCTGTCCTAGAGTGAGCAAGTAAATGTTGTGCTTATTCAGTTTACACAGCACATACTTGCAAGAGATAATAAAAAAAAATATCTGATTTTATTTACAGCAAACCACTTCAGCCAGAAAACCCCACAAATCTCCTGGGGGGTGAGGAGTGAAATAAAAAAGAAAATTATGAGAATGACTGGTTTGAGCCCTTGCTACTTACATCAGTGAGGTAAAATCTGACTTGGTCCTTACTCCAGTACAAGGTATACATCCAAGTTCAACACTGTTCCATTTGCAGCTTTGTGCCATTTTAATAACAGAGCCCTGTAACATATCTAGGTGGCTTTAGCCAGATATGTTTGGAGTTTGAGACGTATAACCACCAGAGCGAGCGTATTTTGTCTCAAGACAGAGTAAGATATAAGTTCTTAGGTGAAGGCCCCAAGAATCTCTAGTGCCTAGCACAGCTGTTGACTGTGGTGCATCCGTGACATTTGTAAGAGCATGGAGTTCACTGCTACCTCTCATGATGCCCCTCCTCTTTTGCAGGTATGTTTTGTGAGCCTTTGTGAGCTTTGGCACCAATTATCATTTCTAGGACAAACACCCAAGACAAGCTGGGCTGAATCTCAGAAGCCGTAGGAAGGCATTCACCTCCAGTTCTAAAAAAGCTGGCAGGAGTCATTGATAAAGGATAAAAGGATGAAATCAGCTCTATACACACCAATCTGCCACATGTCAGCCCTAGTTTAAAGTGCTGGAACACAGCGTGGCAAACTTGAAAAGGAAAGACAACTGGACAGCCTCACTCACATGCAATGCACACGTGCGCCGAGTTTGTAATAGTACAGCCTAATAGGTTTTGCTGTTCTTTCTTGTATTATATTGATGGTTGTAGTGAGCTTCCCGCTGTAATAACTCAATGCTTGGGAAGCAACAAAGTAAACCAATGTGGCACTTCACGTTACATTCAGAAAACCACCACCACCTTCAGGTATTTTTTCATTTTCAGAACTATTTTTGGTATATCAATGATACTTAGCAACCTCAAATATCCTATAAAACAGAACCAGGCTTACAACAAGTTCAGAAGAGATTTTTAAGCATATAAATCCTACTTAGATGTCTAATTCTTGCTCATTTCTTATAAATACCTTTGCGGATTTGAGTTTTACTAATCTTAACATGAGTTCAACAAGAGATTAAGAGTACTGCGAACTCCAGCTCAGGAGACTTTAAATGCTCTCTCCTATTAGCACATAGATAGATCTCAGCTCTACTATTTCAATTTTTATAAGTAGTACTCAAAGGGAAACTTCAAGAAAAGGCCTTTCTCAGTCAGAGAGATCACATTGCGCACAACTCATACAGTATTAGACCGAGCAACAGGAGAAACGTTGAGTCAACCAACTGCAATACAATTTCTGTAGAACAGTAACCGAAGGATTGTTGGGCAATTCATATAAGAGAAAGTCACTTCCCATACCAAGAGCAGAGAAACAAAAAAATGAGGTACCAAAAAACCCACAAAACAGCCTTACCTCAGTGTGAATTGATCTTCTGTTGAATTTTTAGCAACAGATACAAGGAAAGTCAAAATGTCCCCTTGCTTGACAGTCTTTGGTGTATACCGGATGGCAATATTATTATCCAATCTCATTTCATACAGAGAAGGCCCAGCATGTGTCTGGTAAAGGAAAACACTTCCAATCCTCTGCAAGGGAGGTCCAGACTCATCAATGTCATTGCGTCCTGGTCGGATCCCATTACTTTTCCTTACATCCTCCTTGGTACATTCCCCCTTCTCACCTCCTGCTTGTATGGCATAGTAAAGCTCCACAGGACTCCCTTCAGACTGATCCACTTGTTTCTTACGGCCAGCAACAACCGTAGGGGGGTTAAACCAGCTTGGCAGGAGCTCCAGCTCTGCCACGCACAAGCCCAGGTCCCCTTGCAACCTGCAGCTGCCTCTGACCTCCCGCGTCTCTCGGAAGGCAAACACCCGCAGGCAGGGCAGCTGCTCCGTGGTGCTGTAGTCATCCCAGTCCCTGCCCACGACGTAGAACAGCACCTGCACTTTGGGCTTGCTCGGGTAAATTTTGTCACGCATTATAAAGGCCTGAAGTTTCCAATTAAAGGAGAACTTGTTAGTAGATCCAAATGGATTCGAAGACAACATTAAGTCCTGGGGCACCACTTGTTCAATGGAAAAAGGTCCATAGCTGGCATTTAACACAGGTGGCCTCTTGGATTTGTAGATCAGAAAGGATTCCACTCGGGACTGCAAGCTAGAATTTCTCATAATATCCTGGTTGGCTTCCTTAAGAAAGAAGGAAACATCCGCATTGTGGATACGATAGGTCACGGGCAAGTAAGTTGGCAGTAAAGAAAATTTCTGTATACTCTCCAAGATCCCTCGACTCTCAGTCACTGTTGAAAAGAAAGGAGAGTTTAAAGGATCAGATCTTCAAGTCATACTGTGATATAACATCACTGACTTTACTGAGGGAATTGACAGTTCTGTAGCTGATATTAGTGGCAAGAGCAAGCATCATCAATCCATGCAGAAGCAGGCTAGGTAGATGACGATTTATCTAGTTAGCTGGGAAAACAGTACGTTAGGATACGTTCTACATGGCAGCTAGAGAAAAAGAAGTATCTTATATAGGTTTACCCATGCCAGAGGTCACATCTTCACTTGCAATGTACATTTATTATTGGAGAGCAAAATAACCCAGTCAGCATCTGCAATGCAAGATGGCTGCACAGGCACATTTTAAAAGGAATATAATCACTAAAGCAAGCTGCACCTGTACAGGAAACCAAAGCAATGATTTTACATCAAATGCTGCACATGGACCACTTAGGAGTTCACTTCAACCTTCTTTTCAGAGTAATACATGGACTTTAAGTGGTTTCCTGCTCAAGGCTGAATTTCACTTAAGAATAGTTAGCACAATAACCAACACTGGTACTGAAGGATTTCAAAAGAAGCTTTATTTGCATCCACTTTATACATATGCAAAGAGTGGGTTTGGGTTTTTCTCTAATAACTACCAGGATTCACATCACTGTTGTTGCCTAACACTACGTTTTTCCTTAATACAACTGCATTATCTGCAGGCTGTACATCACTGCACATTGAAAGAACATTCTCAATGACACCGAACCTCTCTTACTGCAAGATATCTATTTTAACTGTGCCATTGAGCAATTACCTGAGGCAGGCTATAATATTAAAGAATAAAGTCTCCATTCTTTCTAGTTCCAAAGAGCAAAGACGTACTTGAACACCTGACCTTTGACCTTTCTGCTTATGTCTTCACACCCTAATTGTGAAATAAACTGCCTTTTTTTTCCATAGCAAATTCAAATCCTTACCCTTATTTTGAAAAGTGACAAAGGGTTACCACAGACAGCATTCAAGGCAACCCACTTTTCCAAGCTTTAGTCCAGAAACACTTTATGAATCACTTTTTGTTTGGCATCTGGCCTAAATATTTATTTGCTCATCAAGTACTGTGGCGGCCTAAACAGATGCCAGTTACCCCTAACCACCAATCTACCATTTACATGCTGCTATTCATTGCATATCCTAGAACAGAAGAAGTTTTTTCTATACAAACCCTACGGCAAGCTATTTTTAGTTCTTAAAAATTTCTGATTTCAGAGTCCAAGTGTTCCACAAAAACGGTCTGGAAAATGCCTCTCACAGCACGAATCACCTTACCTACCTATGGACTGTGTAACCTAAAAGGAGAATTTAACTTTGCACAAGAGGAAGCCACACTGCTTCCAATAAAATTAAAATAAAATCTTACTTTTTAAAGTTTTAATTAATATAAACTCTTAAAACCCACCTGCAAGAATAGAAGAATCTGAAGAATAGAGAAAACAGCCTCAGCACACGTCATCACAGGGGACTTCAAACTGCAATAGCAATAAAAGGCTGAAGTCCTGTGATCCATAGAGGTGGAAAATTCAGCTTAGATCTTGTTTGAACTTATAGGTGGTCACACCCAAGGCTTTTCTGATTGTTTTTAATCAAAAGTAAACTGCAGAGATTCTTTGCATGCAAAAATACCCTTTATTTTAGCCTTAGTCTTTTCAGCATTCAGCTCCCGCTCTCTCTCCAGATATTCATTGAGAGCAGATGAAGTTTTTACAGACCTTTTTCTAGATAATCCCCCAACAAAGATTTCTAACAACTCTAAATGGCTTTGCTAGTACTTCGACTTGCAGGGATACATCTCTTCTATCCAGCCCTAGGCAAAATCTGTTCTGTGTTTTACTCCTCAAATCACCCAGCCCTTAACATCCTTCCTCCATCTAATGTCCCATTTATAAATTCCACACTCATTTTGTACTCCTCCCAACAGCTTGGCAAAGCACCATTAAACACAGTGAGGCATCAAGGAGGCAACTTAGAGAGAGGCAAAAGCTCAGGGTATTCAATTTTTTATTTCACTTATTTTGATTGCAGCTCCCTCCCCTGCACTCCACAGGGAGAAGTACATTATTTTTATATTAAAACTAACAGAGTGTTTCGACTCATAATTTTTTAATCATTTATTTTAGTGCTTAATTATCTAAGGGATTAAAAATCCTTCTGTACTCCCCATCTCTACAGGACAACGTTCCTCAGAGTTTGTAAATCAATGACTCTTTGGAACAGAAGAGCAACACGTTACAAAAAAAAACCTACCAACCAACCAACACAAAACCCACCAGAAGCGGAACTGCATATTAAAAAAAGAAAACAATCTCACCAGACAGAACAGGTCCCATTGGTTTTTAAAGTTTTGGGCAATGGCAAACTGGTCCGCTCACTGTTGTATTTCCCTCTACCATCAAGCTGTGGACATGTACTCAATATGAACTGGCTTATGCTGGAAGCTGAGAGCAGCTTTCCACACAGCCAAAGGCCAAAAATTCAAACAATTTTACACTTTTATCTGGGGAGAGTTATAATCAGAACAAACAGAAAAAAATTCCAAAAACTACACTGAGCTCTGCAGTACCATCTGGATTTTGAACCATGAAGTTTATTAAGGATTCTGAAGGATCGGAAATTCAAAACAAAAATGACTGTCAGCATCCTTAATTGCAAACATGACTATTTTTGTAAAAATTATGCATGTTTTTACAAAGGCAGAAATTGCAAAAGATTACAATTTTTCATGTTATTGGTTGGGACCCAGCATAAAAATGGAATTTTAAAGATTTAAAGTCAATTCATCAAGCCTAAATATTACATCAGACCTGTATCATCATGATCAAAATTCCAGAGGAATAATCAACCTGAATAAAAGACCAACCTGGACCCCAGGCAAGAATCATACTGTGAATCTCTCAGTTTAAATATGCAAATAAACAAACAAATAAATAAATAAATACATTCAAAGATTGCAGAGGAAAAAACTAGATTCTTCCAGAGGAGCACAGCAAGCGATGCCTCTTGGTGCTACTGAAACTCGAGGGGCTGACTCCCAACTGGAGTAAACTGCTTCCCTGCAAGGCCTGGTGAAAATGAACTGCTGCAACTGCTGAGTGACTTTACTGCATTCTGGATCCAGCAGATGATCCCCAATAGTTTGAAGCCAACCAATAAAATCTAATTTTGAGGCTGTGCTTATGCCAGGAGCTATTATTTCCCAATCCCTTACAACTACCTCTGTATTTGACCTCTCCTGCTGTGACTGGTTTGTTCGGGATTTCAATCAGTGCCCACCTGGGAAGAGATGCTGAAGCAGGGTGGTTTTCTTTCCTCTCTCTTTCATAAACCTTCCCCTCACTGCCACTGTTTAAAAAAATACTTGTCATTGATGGAAGAGGCAAATTCTTTGCAGGTCAGTGAATTTGAAAGAATCTGATAAAAAGGCAGTCTATTCAGTCTCTTCCTGCGCAGCCAAAGCTTGTGTATATGATATATCCCTGAACATGGCACTGTAAATACGCTGCATTTACCTTCCAAAAGGTCACACTCCTTCCTTCATTAGGCTCTTAATTTTGTACTGCAGCCTGACTAGGAAAACCTTAAATCTTTACTTCTTTAATATCATGTAACAGCAGCTCTCAGTCAATGACAAAAACACTATTCATAGCTCAGTTTTACTGCAAAGTTATTGACCATGGCTTCAGAAAATTGAAGAAATCTGCCACACCACTAACTTCATTCTATATAGCCAGATCCTTAGGACTTCATTGCCCTAACAGCTACTTTATTTTCAAACCTATTCAATCCACAATCATCCAGCAGAAATAAAACACTCTTCCAATCAGTTAGGGAATGCTACTATTTAAAAAAACAAAAACAAGCAGAAGTGAGGCAGTTTAAAGCAGAGCTCTAAACATAGTAAATACCATCACGAGTTGTATCTCAGCTCTTAACAGAGGGATCATATGTCACTTACAGAGTCAATTAAGACTGCTTACATGGATATCTTAAAGGATCTATCTTACAGGATTTGTTGGTTGCTTGTTGTGTTCCTTCCTTGGGTTCAAGCATCCTTCTTCAGAGCCCTTACACATGAATAGACAAAACTGGAGCTTTCCCTCTTCTGCCAACTTTGTGGCAGCTTCGATTTGCTTAAAACAATCCGCACTGCAATTTCCAGCTCTTGATTAAGTGCTGTGCTTCATTGAGAACAGCTTTATGACACAGTGACAAACTGATGGGTGGTTTTGATCTCAGGCAGAAAGAAAAGCAATACAGATTTTGTGGCAGTTGCTCATTTTGCTTGTTTGAAAGCAATAAAGTTGTTCACTGGTTGCACTTCGCAGTGGTGCTCAGCAGAAGCCCAGCGGGAGGGAGCACTGTAAATACTGAACAGCCTAGAGCAATTGGCTGGAAAGATCATCGATAGCTCAGGCGCATTAGAGGGCAACAAACAAAACCCATGGGAAGAAACACATTGCACCACATGATCCAAAACCTGCAAACCCATCCGGGATCTTATTGCAGTTGGTTTTCTTTGAAACCATTTTTACAGTCACACACCTAATCTGTGCAGCACAAAAGAGCCAAGGAAGTATTTTAATGACTTGATGCCATAAACATATGAATCTATCCCACAGATAACCACATTGAAAATTGCATGCTGCAGTTATTTCCCTGACAAAAAATTAAACCAAAAGCTGAAAGATTAGTTTTCTGTTAGGTTTTACTGCAATATATGCTTGCAAAAGCAAAACTTCTTGGTACCTGGCTAGACAGGTTAGCTTCTTTCCCTAGTTAGCATCTCAATTTGCCATTGATTCTGAAAATCTAATTCTTTTATTACATCTTTATTACTTCTGTGGCTAGAAGCCTGACTGAAATCAAACTTCATCAGAATGAAGAGTATTTGCCTGAAAGAATCTACAATCCAAGTTAACAGACAAGGTTTTGAGAACTGGAAATTTTTGCAAAAATAGTGATGGGATTTACCAAAGCTATAAAACCAGCAAGTATTCAGGGCTAGAAACTAGTTATAAATCACTAATTCCTCTCTGTAGTGGGTATTAGATATGAACATTTCAAAACTATTTCCAACAGTGGCTTTTTTTAATAAAACCTGAAAATGTAGTCTACCCTCCTAGTTTGTCACACCATCACGGAACAACTTCAAAAAAAATCTCACGCTTTTTGGTAACAAACAGCATCATCAGAGCAAGTACCAACAAAACAGCGATGAGGCTAAATCTATGTGTCACAAATAGGAAAACAAAAATAGAACCCTAGAATCCAGGAGTCATAAATTTATATGTAGAAAATTAATTAAAAAAAGGCTTCAAAGCCAAAAGTCACCAATTTATTTTTAAATCCTTTCCTTATTAGCATTTCAGACTGCTGTGCCTGCTTCATTTTATAACATTTCCTCTATCTGTTTCATCCTTGGGAAATTACCATCCTTTTCTGAGAACAATGCTGCTTCCAACCTGCCAACATCTCCCCTGTTTCCCAAGTTATTACACCTCTTGTTCCAGTTGTGCATGTCCATGCAGAGCTTGCTACAAAGCAAGGGAAAGATTATTTGAATATCAAGGTCACAGACTACTTGGAAGAGTTTCTTTGTAAAAAGATGGCTCCTAATTTCTCATCAGAGAATTTTTAAAAAGTTGCAGTATTGTTAGAGAGTGTAACGCACATTGACCGCCACAAAGTAGATGCTCAATAAAGCACATTAAACTTTGCACAGATGCAGACAAGTCACTTGTACCAACATTTAGAGGAGCACACACTTGCAAACCATTCCTTTTATGAAAATGATCAAGCATTGCTGCTGCAGTCAGAAGCAGAACAAATTTTAAATCAATGAGTCCTGCAAGGAAGGAATTGCTCTGACATATATGCTTAAACTTCGTGAGAATACTCCTGTGCATAAAGACAATTCTGTTAATGCTTTGCTAAAACAGGGGCTGCAAGAGGTGATGTCACAGCCTGCCCACCCCAACATATCTTAACCACTTTTGTTTCTGTGCTATCAATACGGCTAGACTGCTCCTCCTGAGCAACTCTGTATCCAGCTGGCAATTTCTCTACCAGCTCCACAGAGAAGTTTCCATGCGCCAACTGGGAAAGCAAGAAAACCTCCTAAGGAGATACAGTACAAAATTCATCCCAAAAGGGTCTCCAAATACAGTAGTGAATCAGAAAATAAGAACTACATCTCAGAGTGATTTTCAAACGAGAAATCTACTCTATTCTTTAGTAGTGTACTATTTGGTCCAGCTCAAAGAATTGTCACTCAAAGTTTTTGGCTTAAGCTTCTGATTTTACCTAGAGGGGCACAGCAAATCTGGATAACAGACTGTGTATCCACTACCACTGTACCCCAGAGCAAGTACACTCTGTCAAGGGCGGGACTGAACCACTCAGCTGCTGAGACAGCGTTAGACCACAACTACTTACAATGTACGGTCTCTCCATGCAATCCTTTTTGCATAGGAACTCTAAGTTTGTTTTTACAGGAAAATTTAGAAGTTATAAATATTCAGAAAATGGTCTTCTAAAAAGGGAGCTCCTTCTCCACCAGGCAAAGCAAATTCACACCACAGAAACAATCCTCAGTCCCAGCATGAGCCACTACGATGCTTTAAAAGCAGGGCAACAAACTAAAACCAAAATCAACCAATGAATTTAACGAGCCTGCCTGTTAGAAACTGCTTGTGGACTGCCATAAATGATGCCTGAAAGTTGAATCATGATATCAAAGGATTTCCATACCTCCGTATCTGGAGTGAGAGTATGCATCTGATCTTTGCTGCTTAGATGGGGTGTTGGGTGATATGGTTTAGGGGTGAACTTGTAGTGTAGGGTTAATGGTTGGACTCGATGACCCCAAGGGTCCAACCTGAATTGTTCTATAATTCTATGATTCGGAGCAGAGCCGGTATGCATAGCTTGATATGCATGACTCCAAGGATCATTAAAGGTCATACCCTCACCCAGCACTTTTCACACTTCAATTGTTACTTGATTTGATGGCTTCATAAGTGCTCCCAGCTGCTGTATCAATTCAGGAATTCCAGTTGCCTTAATGCTCCTCATTATCGGCCAGATAAGGTCTTTGTGACAACAGCCCTATAGTCTGATGACAGTATTTTCTCTGAATATCCCACTTTACTGAAGTTTGAAGAAACTTTTGCAAATTGATCATTGATGTCAGGACAGGCTACATCTTGTCACTCATTAGGAGCGGGATGAACAATCCTGATATTATTTTATCATTCATGTTGACAGACAGATAAAGAAATCATTTAAATAAAAGTGCCACAGAGGAACATATGCACCTTTATATTACCAAGTGATACAAAAATAATCAGAGAAAGATCAAACAACAAAGGCAAGTTCCCACCTGAAAAGGCAGCAAAGTAATAATTAACAGAGAAAAGTGTTAAGATAAAAGGATATGGCAGCATTTCACACAAGATCTGATGTCAGCCTGAACATGAAAGAGCAAAGGAGTGATGGGTACCACAAATCTGACAATAAGAAAAACAATTTAGAAAACAAAAACCACAAACCACAGTCACGTTAACTACTGGAGG